ATATTATGCTTTTCCTGGGCTAATAAAGAAAGTTGACGGGTTGTTAAAGCAGAATTATGACGAATATGTTGACCCAAGGAACGTGCAAGAGTTCGTGTAACCTTCGATGGTCTACCACTACTTTGTTTACGTTCAATAGTACCCGTTTCTCTAAGCTTTTGGAGGTTACGTTCGATAGTACGCAAGGGAATGTTTATTCTTTGATATATTTCTTTAGCCGAACGGATGTCATTGAGCCAAAAATGCAAAATAGTTTTACGTTGGGTTTCAAGCTTTGTATTAACCATGTTTTTATAGATTTTAAAATAACAATAAATTTTTATTTTGTTAGAGTGTAAACAAACAAATACTTAATTCGTAAATTATGTAAACAAACAATTTATAATTTTCTAAATAAATCAAATTTGTATCGCAAACCGTCATTATTTTCGTTACACACTGTATATATAAAAAACAAGCAAGAAAAGTAAATATAAACATATATATTATATATTAATATTTAAGCATTTCCATATCATGCTGCTTTGTTATTAACTTTCCTCCCTTAACGTCTGATGACCTTCAAATAGTTGTAAGATTGAGGATATTTTACATTTCCTTCTTCTCCTGCACGGATGCGCTGTCTTTCCATCCATTCTGACTCCTTTAAATCTAATTTTTGTATGCATAACTGCAATATGCATTTTCTTTTTTTTTTTGTGGGAAAATACATGATTGGCTCGACTTTCACTTTCGAACCAATCTGTAAGTTTCATATAAAAAATCACCAAATTCTCCCATTGTGAGACAAAATATTATTATTGTAGAGTCAAATATTTAATAATAATAATAAATATAAGAATGAACCAAATCCATATCTTTGATTTTGTAAATTAGAATCAAATTAAAGGTAATTTATGAGTATAAAAATATTAATGGTTTACAAAGACATGAAATTCAAAAAAATAAAGAATCTGGATATTTATCAATATAAGATTTACACATTTTGAAGAACAATCAAGGATTTTAATTAATATTTGGCATTCAATAGACTACTATTGTACTAACAGACTTCACAACTTTACGTAAATGTATGGCGAGGGTTGTAAGTTTCATTATTATTTTTGCATAATGACATACTTTATGTTTCTATCATCCTGTGGAATTAAAACAACCAAAAAATGAACTCGATGTTTGCACAATTACGACAAAAACTTTATAACACACATTTGTCGAAATAAGAAATGCGTGTAAATAAATTTGATCGACAATCGGGATTTTAGTATTAACAATTTTACAACTTTATCATCATTGTTCATATTTCATTGGTTTCATCAAAATATGGTTAAAAATGAAAAGATTCATTAATAAATATCATTATTAAAAAATGATGTTACGAAAAGATTTATTATATTTGTTGGTCATGTGAATTTTCTTGATAATTTGGAAAGTATAAGACCTTTACACATTTTATGGGTAGAGGCTGGCGAAAAAATTCAAAGTTGCAGTAAGAACAGTAGCTTAAAATATATACAACATTTAAATATATGATGTAACACATTATTGATTGTGAGATACCTATCTTCTGAATCCTATTGGCGAGCAACCTGGCTTGAGTCAACATATCTCCACCGAGGTGCAGACATTAGGATTGGTTGAGTGTTATATATTTAAGGCCTTTTAATCTTGAGCTATTTTTCAACAAATACCTCTTATGAATCCTATTGGCGAACAACCCGGCTTGAGTCAATATATCGATTAGTTGAGTGTTATATATTTAAAGCCTTTTAATTTGCGAACTGTGCTTCAATACTTGGTTGAATGGAATATATTCAAATCATAATCTTAAGTTTGGACTAAACATTAACATCGATCTAATACAAATTTTACAGAAAACGGTTTAATTTATTTATTATAACATCAGAGATTCTACCAATAATGTCCATTTTTATATAGAAAGAAAAGCAAATCCATCTTGAAGATGTGAAATTTATGAAAAAGTAACCAATTATTACAATTTCAAATGTGAATTAAAAATTGAAAATCATGAAAACGTCGAAAACGTTACCAATGATGTTAGTTAGGAATGCTATAAAGAAAATTAATAAAGTAGCATTTTGTCTTAATCTATCTTCTTTAATAATTAATTTAGTAATTATATAGATTTAAAAAAAGACGACCTTCTTCTATCAGGCATAATTGGTCTTAATTCGATATCAGTGCAATTAATTTCTCACCTTACACAAAGAGGACTATGGAATCAAGTTAATGAAGGGCCAAACTTGGAAAAGGTTCCTACTAAAATTTATGGAAAGATAGAATTCCTGAACAATATTATCATGATAAAGGAGAGTTAAAAAATGTTTCGAGTGATAAGAAGTCTAGTATATTGTTTGTGTGTATTTTTTTTTTTTTTAAAGACTTGAAATAAATTGTTTTATGTTTTAAAAATCTATTTACTAAATTTTTTTAGTCAATGTCTTTGGACTAGGGGAACTAGTCAGAGATCTAATGATTATTTGCCATCGGAGAGTACTTGGAACTACCAAGCAATTAACCTGTTACCGATTTTTATTTCGCAATATTAACATATTAACACATCAACGGTAAAGTTTTTTTAACGATAATGCAACTTGTACTATGTATCCAGAATTTTTTGTAAAATTTCAAATGTAGGAATAATAGCATTATTAAATTTACTTTAGGTGAAAGTAATTTCCCCAGCAGAAAATACACTGATAACAAAAGGTTCAAGTTTGAAGTAATTTTTGAAGAGACATATGGGCCTGATCATATAAATGACATTGCATGTATAAAAGGACATTGGACAAAATTTGAAAAGTTTGGAAAAAACTGTTTCGATATTCGACGATGCATCATTTTAATTTTCAATTACAATTGCATTTTATTCATTCTTTCATTCGTTTTTTGATTTTTTAATAGATTAAACTTTTTTGGATTATACAATAACATTATCAATTATGGATAATGAATTTGAGCACAAAGCACAATATTATTGATTTACCTGTGGAGAATAGTGTAAATACAATAGAATGAAAATGTTATATAATTTTTATATAATTTTCACTCTAAGATAACAAAGGTGGTAGAACTTGTGGACAGAATGGATCTAGATTCTGATTATGTTAGTCCTATAATGGATAATGGTAAAATTCATATATAACACCATAATAACACCATAATAACACCTTGATCATATTTTTGGGTGAAACACAATGTTCATTAGACTATTTTATTTTATTGGAGATTAAACTCAAATTTTTTTTATTAATATAAATTTATATAAATTCATATTTTATATAAGTAAATAAATGTCTATTGTAGTAGTAGAAGTAGGAGTAGTAATTATAGTGGTAAAATATACAAATAAAATCATTACAGGAAAATAATAATTAAATTAAAAATAAATTAAAAAAATAAATTTCTAATATTTACAAAAATATAAAAAAAAATTTTAATTGAATAATTTATTTGGGAGAAAAGAATGATTTCCATTATTATTGTTCTTTCTTCTAAATTAAATAAATTAAATAAATTAAATAAATTATTAAATTAAACAATCTTTATTTTATTATTTTATTTTATTGTTTACCTAAATTTTAAATTAGAAGCCTTTCTTCCTCACAAAAAAAAAACTCAAATAATTAATTAATTTGACAATGATGATGAAATGTTAGATGTAGCGGAAGATGTTGGAGTTGTGGTATGTGTAGAAGAAGAAGATGATGAAGAAGATGATGACAATAAAGAAGAAGAAGAAGAAGACGATGATGTAGGAGTATCTATCACCATTTTACTACCCCTATGACCATTATTCTCCTCCTCCTCCTCCTCATCATCATCATCATCGTCATCATCATCATCAAAATTAGAATCAAAATTATTATTATTTGGTGCCGCAATCTTATAATTAGGTATCTGTTCCACCAAATTGACATAATACTGTTGTAAATCATCACCAGTACATATCAAATGCCAATCAATCAATTTCAAAAACTCAAATTCCAAAGTGTTCAACTCTTGTGTAGATATCCCACCAACCTTGGCATAATATGAATTGGTGCAATATGAGTCGCACAATGCTTTTGATGATATGGTTATTGCTGTGATGATGAATCGATGTATTGTCAGTGATGTGATGGTGAACGATTTCTCACGTTCACATACTCTGTCAATGTATATTAGTAGTATTAGAAGACATGCCTTTTCTGTCGCAGTGTACTTTACTATTCTACGTAAATAATCTATCACAGAGATTGAAGGTGATGCTCTAGAATGAAATCTTGTTAGATCTGCCGGTGTTAAACGAATCCTGTCATTATGAATAATTACGCATCCCAACATATCAGCTACAACGCACAATATAATAAGATTTGGGTAAGTTTTTTTTAAAAAAAAGAGAAACGAAAAAGAAATGTTTTAAAAACTTGTATAAAATAAATTTATATGATTATAAATTACTAACCAATCATAATCATTAAATGATCAATGTCGTCCATTTTTTCAAAAGACTCGGGAACTTCAATCATTACAGGTTGAGAAATGTGAGTCATATTGTTAAACTTTTTTTTTTTATTAAAAGGGAATTTTTTAATTTTTTGGAAAAAAAAAATTTTTTTTAAATAGTTTTTTGTATTACCTATTTCTTGGGAGAATATTGATGATAAATTCTTTTTTTATTAATAAAGTCGCGTACATCTGCATATCTGTTTACTCTCGGTAGCATTAATTGTAATAAATAAATATATAGATTTAGAATTTAATTTTTAATAATCCAAACGAAAATCCATTTTTGAATACTAATAATATATATATTTTACATTTTATAAAAAACAACGTGTTTAGATTCTCATTGAATTACAAAACACGTTCCACATTCGATTAATATCATTCGCTTGGGTTTTTATCTCTTAAAATATTAATTGATGCATTAATTCCCATCAAACATAATTAGTTAATAATAATAAATAGTTATTCAATTACCAAAAAATCTATTTATTTATGTATATTAATATATAAAATATATTTCAACAAAAATATTATTATACAAAAAACAATAAAAAATAAAAATTACAAATTTTTACAAATCTACAAAAAATAAATAAATAAATAAATAAATAAATAAAGAAATTAATTTTCACATAACCAAGGATGACTTAAAACTTCATCAATTCTTAACCGTTTGTCAACATCATATTCAAGCATTTTCTTAACAAGGTCAATTGAACCTTCGGATAGTATAAACGGAATCCTTAAATCTCTTGCCATCACTTCATCAATGTTGTAGAATGGATTTTCTTTGTAGATCAGAGTGTACAATAATACCCCTAAAGCCCAAATATCTTGTGGTGGCCCATCATATTTTTTACCTGAAAATACCTGTTTAAAAATTTGCATTATAATTATTATTTGTATTTATCCCACAAAAATGTCACACACGTCACAGAATAACATAAATACCTCAGGAGATATATAATCAATAGTTCCACAAAAAGTGTCAAATTTTGTATCTTCTTTTACATAAGCACCGGATCCAAAATCGATTATTTGTACGTTATTATGTTCGTCAAGTATTATATTCTCATCTTTAATATCACGATGTACAATTTTATTGTGATGCAAATGTTGAATTGCTTTTGCCACTTGAAGAAATATTAACTTTATTTCTGATTCAGGCATTTGAGGATTCAATTCTATGTACCCAAACAAATCCATTCCTACTCCATGTAGTCCCATCTCAATGTAATAATTATCATCGTCTTCAAAAAAGTCAACTATAAATAATATAAATATAAATAAGTATTATTTTATAAATAAATATTTAAATTACTATTATGCTATAATAATTACCCATTTGTACAATGTTAGGGTGAGGAATAAGTTTTAATGTGTGAAGTAAATGTATTTCTAACGGAACTGTTCCCAATATTTTATCACGTATCCAACAATCAACAATTATACAAGATTTAAAAACATATTTAAGAACAACTTTTTTCTACAAAATTGAAAAATTTTAAAATTTTAATACAAATATTAATTTATAAATTTTTTTAATTAACAAAAAAATAAAATGAAATTACCATTTCAGGATCATTTTTATAATACGCTAATTTGACTTCACCATAAGCTCCTTTACCCAAAACCCCAGTTATTACAAAATCGTCAATTGTTTTTTTAAGCGTTAGTGCTGAATAATTATTAGGATCAAATGGTTCGGCAGCAGCAGCAGTAGAATTAGCTGATGGTGGCTCAGGTGGTGATGTGATTGATTTAACAGCAGCAATGGATGAAACGGATGAAGTGGATGAAATAGATGAAGAGGATGATGTAGATGATGTAGATGATGTAGATGATGTAGATGATGTAGATGATGTAGATGATGTATTTGCAGTAAACGGTGTTATATTTTCAGTAGGTGGAGATTGATTGGTTAATAATTTCAATATCGGTCGTATCGATCTATTGTTGTTGTCATCATCAGAATTTTCATCTATTTCTATTTCCTTCTGCATTTCCACTTCTGTTTCCATTTTTATTTCATCCTGGGTTTCCACCCCCATTTCCACCTCCATCTTCACACATTCCTCCTCCTCCTCTTCCTCCTCCTCCTCCTCCTCCTCTTCTTCTGCAAGTGTTTCCATCATTGATTTTTCATACATTAAAGGAGATTTTGGACATGGAAAAGGATCTTCTTCAAAGTTGACATTACGATCATAAGTGATCCATAGAGCATGTAATGGTTGATCTGGTGACTCTAGAATACGCATTTGAATATCAACATCAAATTCTGTTCCATCTCTATGTACAGCAATTATACCAGAAGGCCCTTGTGACGATGTTAAAGCATTATTATTAATAGATAAAAAGTTTTTACCACCGCCAACATTATTATTATTGCTATTATCAGCTGAATAGAATAAATTAGTTGTTGTTGTTATGGGTGATAATAAAGAAACAGCTTTACGGAAAATATTTTCTGAAATAACGATTCCTTCAACTAGTGCGCTTTCCGATTCCAAGATTTTAACAAGACCGGGAAATTGTGGTAACAATTTATCAATATTTTTTTTTCCAATTAATTCATCAGCACTAACACCAAATAAACACTTTACAAAATCCGAATTACACGATTGTATAACACCAGTAGCGTATGCAGTTATCACACCAGCAATAGTAGGAATAGAAACAATTTTAAATTCATATATTATATTGGAAAATTTTTTTTGTATTTCTAATTCTTGCCTTTCTTCTTTTTTTATGGATGATGGTGATATTTCCCCTATTATAGGGAAATTAATTACATTTTTAGATTTACTACCATAAAATTTTGTTTTATTTATTTTCTCTATATCCAACAGTGATAATGATGATGGTGATGATGAATTGGTTGTTGTTTCTAGATTTGGAACTAGTGAAAGGATATTCATCCCCGATAGTTCTTCGGGTGAATATCCATACATAGTTATTACTTCACCAAAAGTTTTTATTATTGTTCCCTATTTTATTTTATTTTTTAATTAATATAAATAGTACTTTAGTTATGATCATTAAATATTAAAAAATATCATTATTTATATACCTTTTCATCGATTTCAGCAGTCATAGTTAATTCAGATATTTCTTCGAAAATCCAAATTAACACAAAGTTACCACATTCATCTTTTTTCATTTTAAGCCATAATGAGGCTAATGAGGCTTCTTCATTTTTTCTTTGTATTGGTATCTAATTAAATGTTATAATAATAATATTAATTATCACTGTCACAAACGATAATTAATTATCACACAATAATACACACCACTTTACCACATGCCAATACTGCTTCACAGTTATCTTCATCGTTTTGAAGCCTTGATACAAGTGTTTTTGCTATTTTTTCACGAAAAGGGCTTCCAATAATACTTAAAACTTTAACGTTTAACAATTCAACTCTGGAGTAACCAAATAGCAAACATGTAAGATCGTTAGCGTTCAGTATGTTTGCTTGATCGTCTGTTGTAATTATGGCTTGATTCTGTGGAGTGAATCTGGTTGGCGAGTGCAGAACCGTAGGAGTCATTATCATCATCGATGGTGAATGGATGATGGATGAAAATGCTGTTGATGATCTTCTAAAGTTTCTCGAAGATTCGGGTAATTCATTTGAAGAAGTCGTTGTAAATGTAGGAAAAATAATATCGGTTGAAGGAAATGACATCTCTACAGGTGATGATGATTGTTGATACTCTTCTTGAGTAGTAATATTATTTTTGGTATGATGATGGTGAATTGGAATTTTCCATCCTTTTATCTTATTTTTCATAAAATCGATTGAACGATTAATAAAATTTTGTCTACTCTTAAATGACGATACATCATTTCTCACAAAACTATAGCTGTGTAACGACTCTGTTGAGAATCTGGCAAGATCTATGTGATTCATGATTTTTGATGCTTCTCCACGATTATCATAGTCACATGACATAGATCGCTTATCTCTAATCCTTCGTAAACCGGTTGTAGGTAATAGATTATCACTGTTTATTAGTCCTTGATCAGATTCTCTATATAAGATAAACAATAATATAAATAATTAAGCCATTTGTTAGTTACACGAACAATGTTTATTTGGGAATATTCAAGTTTTCAACGAGATTTTTCCCAATTACCAAATTCATCAAACAAACGGCAAATTAAAAATAATTGTTATCAGTGATTATTGTTATTATTATTATCATCAGCCAAACAATAACGGATACTCACATCAAATATTCTTCTAAGGCATCCATATCATAATCTTCATAATCACAATCCTCCTCGTATTCATCATATTCATCAATATCATTAACATCTTCATTCTTTTCTTCTTCCTGATAAAAGTGTGTTTCTATTGTGGAAAGTGCGAGCGATTGTCGAGAAAAAAAAGAAATTAAATGAGAAAGGAATTCAAAAAGAAACCTTTTAGTAAAATTTAAATTATTTACCTGAAACTTGAGTCATTTGTTTCTTTTTTTTTTATTTTCGAAAAATTTTTTTAAAGAATAAAACTCAAAAAAATTTTTTGATTTTTTTTTTTGAAAAAAGCAACTAGCACAAAATCGTTGTAGTTTTATATTGAATTAGTTTGTTAGATTACATTATATGCATACAGTATAAATATTATTAATTTATGAAAATTATTTTGGTAAAATTAAATATTGATTATTATTATAAATAGAAATAAAAATAAATTGAGGAAATTAATTGTAAAATCATCTGATTTTATTTTTGCTCCAAATTCGGCTTTTTCAAAAAAAAAAAAAAAATTTGTTATTATATATTATTATTATTGAATCTCGTGAACTTTTATTTTGTCGGAGATCGCCGTTTTGCACTTTTTATTTTAATTCAAAAATTTGAATTTCAGCTTTAACAAGTTTTTAATATGTAATTATAGTCATCATTATTATTATATAATCATCGTTTAATTATCTAATCATGATCTGATAAGATGATTAAAATATATGTATTATACTATTATATTGATGATAACTTGTTGATAATGTTAAGGATGTATATGCATTTAAATATTTACATATTATTTATTTTTTAAAAAAGGAAAAAAAAATTATTAAATAAATATCTCGTGAATTAAATATCTTAAAATAAAATGTTTTTAAAATCATCTTTCCATTCACATTCATTTTCATGCTTTTTTAACTTTCTTGCAGGTTTTTTTTGTATAAATAAATATTTTTAGTTTTCTCTACCTAGAAGCTAACATACTACTTCTGATCTACCAATCATCCAATCATCACTATCCAATAATCATCGTCTCATCATACACAAACACTGCTCAAAGTCATAAACTTTTCCATTTGTTTAATTTTGATGCGATCGAATTAGACAATATATTATAAAAGACAACTAAAATAGAAAATATAACAATGTTACTAAAAATAAATATTTTATTTTTGAAATAATAATAATAAAAATAAAATTACCAGAATCTTTACAAGAAATTTGAATTTTTCTTGCAAGCTTTCGGCAAATTATAAACCAAACCGGTACACTAATAGACCCTATTAGAGACATAAATATAATATATTGTCAGGAGAATAAATCCCATTCAAAATAAATGAAATGAAAATAAACGAGATGAATAAAAACCTGAAGGTGAAAATGGAAAAGAAAAGATCCATGTGGTTGGACTAAACCAGCCTTCTGGTAAATAGAATACAGGCGTAGTTCTATACCACAGCACCATAATTATTTGAATTCCATTAGCTGATGTCCATAAAATAGTCTTAAATTTTATCTCGAATGATGTCTTCATATATCCAAATGATGTTGCTATTCATATTTAAAATTTTTTAAGAGTAAATTAAATTTGAAACTTAATGATTTGTTAACTTATTTAAAAGATATTTACTGATTTTCTCTAATTCGCTCATTTTACTATCCAGTTTTCTTCTTAGTTTTGCCCATTTTGCAAATTGATCCTTAAAAAAAAATTAAAATTAAAATTAAAATCATTTTGTTTAATCAAAGCCATCCAGGTATGCATACCTGTGAGCTTGTTCTTGCTAATTCTTGTTTTACAACTAATATATCTCTTTTAAGTTTTCTTTGATTTGCCAATGCCTCGCTTTCGAATATACTTAAATATGTACTATATGCCTATTTATATTGATAGTATTATTAGCGAATGGTAAACAAATAATGAATAGTATGTTGATCTCTAAAAAGATCTAATTATATTTATTTATTATCTCTTACCAAACTCGCTATTTGTGAATATCCAAACCATACAATCATTTCCGTAAGAACTACTATTATAATAATGCTTATTGCCAAAGACATTGTTGTTGTTGTTGTTGTTGTTGTTGTTGTTGTTATTATTATTGATCTTAATAATGTTTTGATGTAGTTGCAACACTAGAAAATTAATATAATTAACTATCATATATTGTATGCAAGTTGTAATAAATTTGTCGTAAATTAAATATTAAATAGATGCAAATAGATGTAATATCTGTGTATGTATATAGATAGATGAAAAATTTTTTTTGTTTAAAAAAAAATAATTTTATTTTTTATTTGTTGTGTAACTTCTGACATGATCATGCGCGATAATGTAATTTTCAAAAAATAACAAATCAGATTCATCAGAAAACACTGATTTAAAGAAAAGAAGATAGAATTATTTTCTTTGATAAATTCATATTTCTGCATGAATCGTACACATGTTTCTCCCAAGTCAAATTTTATGGGATCTCATACTAAATTAAATACTCCAGGTTTCGTTAGTTATTTTTCTATTCTAAATCTAGCTAGTTCAATAATTAGCTAAAAGAACTAACCTCACAAAAATGGCCACGGGATTCAAGGTTGTTAATCCGTCCCATACATGAATAAAAACCCTCCAAATCATCGCACAAAAAAAAATAAATTACAGGGATCAAATTTAGAATTCTTCAAAAACGTGTTTATTATTATTTTTGTTTACGTTAAACAATGTACAACCAATTTTGAGTTTTTTAAAACATTACATTCATCACACACTACATCTCATATTTGGTAATGATTATTTGTAATGTTATTATTATATAATAATAAATAATAATAACTTACGAGCGTCGGAAAAATTTCCTGTTGTTTGCAGATGTTGACAGTGCAGTCTAACATTGTCATATCCAAACTTGTACCCATACCTTTTAGAATTTCATAAAGACATTATTTAAATCACAAAAAACAATCATACATTTTTAAATTGCAGAAATAATCATGTTTTATTATAATGGAAAATAATCATTACAATTTTTAAATCATGAAAAATAATCATGCATTTTATTACAATTTTTAAATAATCGTACGTTTTATTACAATTTTTAAAACATAGATTGTACGACTTTTTAATCATACAATTTTTAACGTATTTTTATTGGCCATTTATCACTTGACTTAGTTAGTAATTATTGTACTCAAAAAAGTTTTTTATTATTGTTGTACGTGAAAATGAAATTATGTGAATTTGCAATTCACATGTGTGAAATTCAAATTTGTTAAAAAAATTTTAATTCGCTGTAACAAGGTTTGACTGTATAACAATTCTTTTAGTTTCTTTATGTCTGATAATAATGAATTGCTATTCTTCTCACTTTTGATGAACCTAATTGTATTGGTCAAACACCCAGATAACCTGTAGCTCGTTTCCTGAGGGATAGATATATTAGAATAATCTACTTGAATGTTGACGAAATTAGACTGTGATATCTCATGACGAAGCAAATCCCAAGATTTTCCAACAGATACCAATATTGTTTTTCGACACCTAATGCATGAACCCAGTTGTTTATAAAAATGATACGGTATTTTGACTTTAAAGATACTGGCTGCAACTTTTGATGACAATTGCAACAACAGCTATATCATACAAAAATGGTTACAACCTAATTGTGACCAGTTTTTTTAATTGTGACAGGTATCCTTAATGCTGTTAGCAGCAACAGCAAATGACTTTTGCTAATATCGACATGTCCATGCAAATATAAACCACAACAACTGGTTCCTTCAGGTACTAAAACATTAGGATGTGTCCCTATGGAGTAAGTTTTCATTTTCCTAAACAAATTCTTGGAGATTTTGCTACCATACTACTTCTCATCAGTCCATCATATTAATTTCAGTGATAATGGGCCATAAAGTTATACATTCTTTGCTTCTCTTTCTTGAAACTGTTCCTGATGTTGGCGAGTCTTAATGACATAAGTATGTTACAAGAAATAAGAAAGAATTAATGTGACAAATATATAGTCAGATTGATAATTTAGGATCAGTGTTTTTGCCGATCTGAAATAATTACAGTCCAGGCTATCATTCAATTCATGAATGGAGAAGGCCTAATTCTATCTCATTATCTTCAGCAACACATATGGCAACATGCATTGCTAAAAAGACAGAAAATTTTTTGGCTATTCCTGCTAATTACAACAACATACCACTCTTTAATCCAAAGAACATTGAAGCATCAACAATCATTTACAGACTAGTTAACAATTATAAAGGTCATTTTGACCTAAGTTACAATTTTATTAAAAAAGAATGGATCCAAAATGAAATGATAAATGAAAATGATTTTGATCAATTGGAGCTTTTGTTAGTGCACCCATATAATGCAAATATTGAAGAAAAGAAAGAGGAGAGATCAATGAAAACAGTTAGAATTTTAGATATAAAGGAACAAAATTTTCGCTCTCTAGAAGATTATCTTTCTGCAATTAAAATGATTACAGATATCAAATCACTGGTGGAATGTATTTTCCAGGCCAACTTTTTATAAGAAGAATTATCACATTGTATTTAAAAAATCAGCAAAATAATATTCAACAAAATAATCTGGATTGGATACTTAACTTTATTCCAATTTACATGTTTCTCTTAATTCACATGAAGATGTTGTTATGCTATATCATGATTTTTTTAAAAAGTTATATTGTAATGTTTTTGAAAAGACAAAATTTCCAGAAAAACCTAAACCATGGAAGATTAATTATATTCTTCAATTTGCACATGATGGTTGGTTAGAAATTTCTAATATGATAGCAGAAAAATTTGGAAAAACTAAAAATACAGAGTACAGAATGATGATAGATCTGTTAGATAATATTATTCAGCAACCTTGGATATATATGCTGTACTTTTTCGATCAGGAGCCTTTGAACAATATGTAGAGACGTTTTTTAGAATCTGGACTTTTTTCCTAATATGGAAGAGAAGAAATTATAAAAAACTTCAATTAGCTTTCTTATCTGATTATTTTTATTGGAAAAATAATAATCACCCTTAATGATTACTTTGTTGAAAACATACATAGTAGAATAAGAGCCCAAACACATAGGCTTTCTTCTGCAGAGTTGATTATACAGGAAGCATTTATAATAGATTCTCACAAAAATGAATCGTTCACCAATGCCTTTTCAAAAAAGATACCAACAGCTTAAAGAAAAAAACAAGTTGTTTTTTGATAGAATATTTTTCCTTGATTTATAGAAATTTAAATAACAGTCAGCCAGTCTTCAGCAAAAAAAAAATTAACAAAATATAAACTGTGCACCTTAGATAAAATAGTAGATATAAAATTATTTCCCTCTGGATATCATACAGCACATCCTCCAGAGAAAAATAAATGTGATTATTGTGATAATAAATTCGATCCAAATCTTCCTGAATGCAATGGGGGAATATTAATTTGTGGTCATAGTTACCACTATGACTGTTTTGAAACTTTAGAAAAATGTTGCAGTCATTGTACAAGATTTTATGAAAATGGTATAGTTGATAATGTTGCTGCTTTCCTAAAACATTAGAGAAAAGCAATTCAAAAATATTAGAAAATAATAACGAAAATGACAAAAATTATGATCAAGAATCAATTGAAAACATAAATATAAATGAAGTTATAAATAGATTGCTTACAAATGCTAAAAATGAAATAAAAAATTGGTAGATTGTTTATATAACAACAAAAGTAAATTCTACAATTTAATAATTTTTATATATAACATCATAAAGAAATACCTTTGTAGTAAAACTCCACAGGTATTGATGTATTAGAGATGCCACGTATTTAAACAACAATCTATGCTTGATTTTACATCTAATGGTAGAGATTGTATTGGAAAAAAGTTGTTTTTAATAAAGTGAAGTTACTATTTAAAATTCCTTCGCTTCTAGTAAAAATTCGTGAAAATTACTTTATTAGAGAAATTATTATGTAAATAATTTTTTGTCAATTGAAAACGTGATTTTACATATACAATTTACTTTAAAATTATATAGTCGCACAACATAATTTCGAGATCGTCACAAAGTGATAAACGTGATAAATCGAACTTCCACCATGCTAGTCCAGGGTTGGAAATGATTCTGGAATAATTGAAACCCTCGTCAATCAATTCATATGTGATTCATATGTCAGATCATTTTATTTTTTGGAGATGTTTTTCAGAAACTCCACAACTTGCAATTGTACACGATCAGGAAGGAGAATAATATTCTAATTATTATTATCCTCTTTTAAAAAGTCAGTCTCACACCGGTTTCTGAGAATATGATGCAATGGAAAATTCATAGCACTTGGGCTATTTTCTTTTCAAGGACCTACTTGTTGAAATTTCTTCTATGTTGTAAACTCTGCTCTGAAAAGAAAACGGAAGAGGAGAGCATAGATATGGAAATGATAGTTCTATTAAACTTAACACCTAGACCCAATATGTTCACTAAAGATGGAACCGCAGTTGAAATGCTGATTGTGGAAGCATAGTGGAAATTTGAAATGTTACATTAATTTTTTATATTGTGCAATGTAACTTTAAAATACACGGCAAACATTCTGGCAATAAAAAGTAAGTGGTAAACTAGATTTGAATTGGATCTGAACTTGATCTCCAATTTAGAGAAGTAACAACTATATACTGGCGAAGTTTCAAGAGCAATGGGTTCTGTATAACATTAAGTGTAACAAAAAATTTCCACTATGCTGATTGTGGAGAATTATCTTAAATTCCACAATGTCCGCAGTTAAATACATGTTGCGATTATCCGCAATTTTGCAATATTTTCCAATACCTGCAATTGTCCGCAATTCCACAAATATTTTCATATCTGCAATTCTCCACAATTCTTTTTATAAAATCAAATTAAAATCTATTCTTGGTACCTAAATATAGGAATATTATCTGATAAAATAACAATATTAACAATGTTAAAAAAATTATTTTCTATATCTGCAATTATTCGCAATCCTTTTTTAATAAGTTACAATTAAAAATTATAAAATAAAATTATTTCTAAAGTTGTATTTTGTTCTTAGAAAATAATCCTTTTTTTATTTACAGTATAATAAATAAATAGTATTTTATTGTTTGCAGATCTTCCCTATAATAATTGCGGCTTGGCAAAACAATTGCGGCCCATACCTTTTTGGCCTTATAATTTTTCATAATAGAATAAAGATTCACTATTAATATTTTCAAGTTCTTCATCAAAATATGGATTGAATTAAATTGATACATTTTACATCATAATTTGGGCTGGCATTAAACAAATTGGCCAGAATTACGGGGGTCAATTTCAAAATTTAATTTGACATGAGTTCTGTTGCGCTGAACTTATTTAAAAAATTCCAACATACGTAGTTTAACTAGAATAATTGATTTATGTTGATTTTTTCAAAAATTACATGAAAATTTAACTCATGTCAATTTTAAGAAGATCAATTATTTTGGATGTGACACGTATTGTATACAACCGGACCAATACGAATACGAATACCTAATTTTATTCGAATTAATATATACAATCTAATATATAAATAAATTAACCCAATGTCGTATTTTCGGTTCGATATATAATAAATTATTAATTCAATGAAAATTTTTTCTTGTTGCAACGAGTTATAATTAAATTCGCGTTATAATGAATTTTTAAATTTTTCTTCACAATTTTCTTATGCGTCTAGAGTTGCTAGTCGAAAGTTATAATTTCGACAAACATTTAGGCATCTCGACTGTCGAAATATATTCGAAAAGGTCACTTGATTTGCCGTAATGTCGAAAGTCTAAATTAATATTAACTATTAACATTAATGGACAATGAATATTAGTAAATTTGTGAATGGAGCCAATTTTTTATTAGTGTAAATTTTTTATTTGAAATTAGCTGATTAATTGTATATACATTGATACAATGTAACTTCACTGTAACAACGAAGGAAAATTAAAAAATTTTCCAATTTCAATCTTTATTATAGAAGAATATAAAGTTTGTGATTTTTTTGCGGATTATTCCTAAGATTGTTATAGGAACTAGATTTTATTGAGTGTTTTTAAAGAAGCTGCTTTAGTAGCTGAAACTAAAAACTTGTTGATTCTAATATTGAACAATTATTGTTAGATAATTTAATGGACTTAACTAATCATCCTGAATTTGGCAAGAAGATGTTGTGCGTGAATTTTGAAACCTGCGTGAATTTGAAATTAGCCAATCAGAATCTTGTATTCAAACGCCCTACCCAAATTTAATTTTCACGCACAACAAAGGTAAAGATTCAATAGTGAAAAAAATGAAAAAAATGATGATAATGATGATAATGACACAGACAGCAATAATGAAGACAATGAATTCGATGAAGATGTATTTAGAGCAGCATTTGTACAAAGTTTATAGAATGAATAAGATAAATAATTTAGCATATAAAATTTGGTTTTTTTTTATAAATAAAAAATATTAAGATATTTTAATATTTTTGATATTGCTTAAATAATTGAACTGCGCCGACTTTAACACTATCAATGCCTGAAAAGGGCATAATTTAAAGCATTTTGACAACATTTAGGCATTTTGACATTATTTGGACTTTCAACATTAATTTAGACTTTCGGCATAGCTTTAGAGTTTTGACAAATATTTAGACATTCTACATGAAATTAGACTCTCGAAATGACTGAATTTCGAATGACGAAATGTTTTGACAAAGCTCAAAACATTTCGACTAACAATTCTATATGCGTCCCATCCTATAAAAGATTATGTAAACTTTCCCGTACCTAAATATACGGGAACGATACGAACAAATTTCTCCATGTCTTTCCCGTATTAAATCCTTTTTTCATGTACGGAAACCATATGGAAAGCGCACGGGAAAATGATCCCAAAAGCACTACACAATGGTTTTCATACCGTTTCCATATTTTTAGGAGGAAAGTAGAATTTTCCGCATGTATTTCGTATGAAAAATGCGTTTTCTTATTAAAATACGTTTCCCTGTGTGCATATATATTGATATATATTGATATATATATATATTCATTCCACACCACATCTATTTAGTATCTATTCTGTAGAAAGCTTTTATTCATTGAAATGAGTTTTAAATTTAAAAATCCGACTTGATTCGAATCGAATCTCTTTAAAATCCGACTCATTTTGTTTCGTTCGGAGACTTAGATCTGAGTGGACTCGCATTATTGTGGGCTTTTTTTCAAAATTGCTCCCTTTATGCAATTAATTATTTTATTTTATTAATCCTTTATGGATTTGAGAAAAAAACATAACTTGCCAACAAAATAAAAGGCATAATTAAGTTGGGATGATTGATGAGTTGGCTAATTTTGGTATTTCATTGAGAAGTTTTCTAAGAAAATAATATTGTAACATGTTCAAACATAGGGGGAATAAGACAAAGGATTTTTGCGGCAGTGGCAAAGAAAAAAAATGCTATCATAAGTTTTGAGCTGAATGATTTAGAAACATCTCTTATTTCGACTGCAAAAGAGTTATTGTTAACTTAAAGGAAGATTTAATTGATAATTCAAGAAGAAAATTGAAATATTCTAATAATAATATACCACCAAAGAATTTATTATCCAAAAAAACAAAAAATAATTTGCGAGATGCTACGAGAAAGAAATTAATAATTAGGGAAAAATAATAGGTTATTTATATATTGGAATTTCATTAATCTTAGATATAAAAGAAACTAATCACCAAAAACAGAGTCAGGTCAAAGTTAATTTGTGAAAATACATGGCCCAGAACCCGTGATATTAGTTTTTCATATTATTATCGTGATCACATTTTATTAGTAGAATTGTGATGTTAAAATAATTTGACTAATTTGATATTTGAAATTTCTTTGAGAATTATCTTTACTTTGTCTGGTTTTACTGTATAATATACATAAATATATGTTTTGTTAAGAATCAACTCATGTCACGTGATTTAAATTTTACGTATATCTATTCACAGCAAACAAAACCGCTTACCTGTTAAGCCAAACTTATAAGAACGTATATACCTTTGTAAAAATTTCTTACCTCCATCATCAATGCTGTGACCTAAAACTTCCGAAATAGTTTTGGGGAAAAGAGCCTCTCAAAAGCCTATCCGAAACCTAATTTTTACTGGAATTAGATTTTTAATTTCAATTTTATTCAATTTTGTTCAATTCCAAGTAATAGTTTTGCAAGAAGTTATTTATATTAATAGGAATTGTAATTTTGGCAAGATTTTACCAAAAACCTCTATTTTGCAATATTCTAGCATAAAAAATCATGTGAGAGAAATTTTTTTGAGTTATTTAGTAAAAAAAAGTTATAATGGTTTAAAGTTGGGTAACTTTACTAACCACGATTTTACCTATTATTCACGTGACCAAGTCGCAGATCCTTTACAAATTTAGATTTTAAAAATTCATTTATAAAGTCATTGTTTCCAAACTCTTTTATGAGATTTATATTTTTTCACAGCAAATAAAGCTGCTCTTCCCAAAAGTCATAATCCATAACATCTCCTTGCAAATTTTCTAATTTTACAAAGTGATGCTATTACCTGTAATTCTTTAAATGAATAATTACAGTTCTTTCTGACATGACTTTTAACTGCACCCCAAAAACTTTTGATATAGTTCAATCAATTCACAGTGATATTTGGGATAAAATACTATTTTATGTCCTGCATTTTCTACTATTCCTTCTAATTGTGATTTTTGTGACAAGAATCAGGTTCAATGATAAGGATCGATCTGTACAACAATCAACAACTTCAGAAACTTGTGTATGATTTTAATACAATTTTCATACCATCAGGTAAAATCATAATTATAGAAAAATTTTAAAATTGATAATCAATTACTTGATGACACACTTTCTGAATAAACTGAATAAATTTTCTTTGTATATATTGAGTTCTTTATAAAGCATATTCGGCATAAAAAATTTCGGCTAGTGGCACAACACATGATGTCTTTAGATGTGTTTCGGGCACAAGTTTAGGTTTAAGATTTTATTTTCCCCTAAACTAGTACTAGTTTTGAGTAGTCTCGGTTTCGGGTTTCCCAATACTAAATTTAGTATTAGAGTTCCGAGACACAGCATTGTACATCGTCAGTTTCCATTTACACCATCAATCTCGATTGCCAAAAAAGAAAAACAACCTTCTTAATACTATAAGAGGCGAAGTGTGTTTTGATGTTCTAATATTTTTAATGGAAATTATGATATATTATGATGTTCTACTACATGTTAACTTTAACCGTTAACACCTTTGAAACTGTTATTGTGCCGCGCAAATAGAAATTAAATGATTTTTGGAGAGAAGAAATTTAGTATCGAATGGATGCAAGGATCTACACTCAAGTAGTAGAAAGAGTGGTGTTGTCGTCGTAGCAATATAAATAAATGATATTATATCTATTGTATAATCTTAATAAATATTTAATAATAATCGCTAATCTAAAAACTTAGTATGACATTGTTTCATCTTAACAATCACAGCAATAAAAATGTCAATTTTTAAGGTTGATTCTGTTTCTTGTGAAGAGATGGTAAAAATATTTGCCATAATATTGATAATCTTTCAAGATTAAAACATAAAACAATTCATTCAAAAATAAAGACAAATCTTCAAATACAAATGAGTATCCATATTTCCGTGTTTGGCACTAATAAATCGATGCATTGTTACTATACAACAACTTTTTGCTTCCCATATAAAAATTGCATTTATGCCAAAATTGCCGATTCTAATTGTGATTTATAGATTCGTTTGACTGTATTATGATTATTATTTTCTTTGTAGATTTATAATAACAATAAATATATATTAATATTAACATTGAGCATAATGGATGATACCATGTAAAAACATTCATTATAGATAGTTAAACGAAGTATGATTTCCGATTAAATATTTGCCTCATCATAATAATAATATACACAATTCATCTATAACATTGAAAAAGAAAAATTATTATTTATCATCTAATGAAATTGCTTTTCATTGACCGCTAGCTAAAATTGTGATGTGATGCTTCGGCAATACCAAAAAAGACTTTTTTAACGATAAACCACCTCTAAACTAAAAAAGGCAACAAACCATAGCATCTAATTTAAGATTCCTGATCGAATAAATTTATTTATAGTAATTGTGGGAGATAAACACGCACCCTCCTTTTTTAAAGTTTGGTTAGCATGTTTTCATTGATTAAAGTAAAATAGATATGTCACGTGATCAAAAATAATAAAGCATTAACGAAAGAAAAAAAGGATAACAATGACAAGACCATGGAAAAATGAACAAGAAAACAATTTGAAAATAATGCGAGTCTACTCGAGTCTCTGGGGGCCCACACTAACAAATAAAATTTTCCTTAAAAAATATTCTTCCATTCCCGATTGTATACGACTGCAAGTCACATATAGAGTTTCTTAATCATTTACATATCAAGTTTATGTGTTAGATTCAATAAAATCATCCTTCAATTAATATGCTGAAAACTTAAACACTGACATATGAAAAACTTTGATGGGCTTCCTGGAAAAAAGAACAAAGAGGCTGAATGCGATTTTAATTAAACTGAATTTTCCACTACATCGTACGTATCCTTTCAGAATGAGGAAGTAAAATTGATATATCTTTGATCAGATTGGTTGTAATATATAGATAGGTATTAGGCTTAAATAATGAACTTTTTTCTTTTATTCAATTATACAAAGTATGTTACAACAAAGATTAAAAATATGCAATATTATATCATTATTAATAAAATATCTAAATATGTAAATTTTTATTCATAAAAAATCTTATCTTAATGTTTTCTAATAAAAAAATATAAAATTAAATAAACAAAAGATTCATAGATGGTTGCATATGAATTAGGAATCAAACTTGATCCTTTTTTGCTAATAAGATTATTGCTACTTTTGCGAATAATGATAAATATCATCATCATCACCATTAATATTTGGATTTGAATGAAGATGATTATTAATAGAAGAATAAGATTTTACTACTTTTCTTGAAGAATATGGAATTTTTTGAGTTTTGGAATTACTATCGTTACTGCTTCTATTGCTATATTTATAATTACCAAATTTGGGTGAATCAGATATAGATGAGAGCGACGATGAAGAACTAAGAGGAGGAGGAGAAGGAAAAGGATGGTGTACTGGTGAGGGTGATTTTATTACGACATTATTTAAAGTGTTGTTTATAGGCTTATTATTATTAGGATTGCTATTAAAAGAATGATGATGAATTTTTCTTTGAATCTTTTGTGATTCTAAATCACTTAATTCTAATAAGTCCAAATTTTCATTTCCTTCCTCTTTCTTCCTATTATCGTTGTTAAGTTGAAATAATTGTGAAAAAAACCTTTTGGTTGCTTCTAAATGATCTGCAGCAGTAATTTTTTTAACTTTCTCCTCCTGTTGTAAAGATGCCCAAGTATTTAATAGATTTGATCCGTAAGTTTGAATAAAAGAATTACGCTTGTTATTATTATTGACATTGCCTATATCATTATTACCGCCGCTGTTTCCTTTTTTTGACTTTTTGTGTTTTTCTTTACGCATTAATCTTACGAAATAAAATATACCACCAAGTACAATTATAGCACCACCTACAATTAAAAATATTGACGATTTATCGAATGTTTGTGGTGGTACTGTATCTGAAGATATTTGTGATTGTTCTACATAATTATAATAATTCTCATTATTTTTAGAAGATAAGGAAGATGATGAAGAATAAAAGGATGGTAATGATGGTGACGAAGACGAAGATGATGTTAATGAATTTGATGGGATTTGAGTTTTTGTGTTTAAGTAATTCATAATATATTTAATAATAAGTTTACATATAATTATTAAAAATTAGTTTTATTAATTAATAAGAGAGAAAAAAATGGTTTCCCTTATTTTTTTCAAATTCTGATATTATCAATATATTAAAGAAGAGGAAAAAAAAGAAAGTGAAGGTTATAACTGAGTTAGTAGTTGAGAAAATAAAATATCTAGCTCAGTTAATTCACCACTAAATTCCCTCTGATTAAAAAATAAAAATAAAAATTTATAAATAAAATTAAATAAAAAAATTAAAAAAGTACTTTATCAAAAAAAAAACATTTTATATAAAAGATATAAAAAATTAATTTCTATATTAATGAAATTCATCATAACCCAAATTTATACTAAACCGTTTTTGATTACATAACAATACATTAAATGAACGCGACAAAGACTAATCATTATTCATTCTAGTTTAAATTAATATATATACAGTTTTATTTTTTTGTAAATGTAATAAATAAATAAAGATGAAATTTTAATGAAATATAAAGATTTCAAATTTTGTAGAATTTGTTATTTTAATAAAAGTTTCCCTGAAAATTTGGATAGAATTAAAATCTATCAATAATTTATTTTTTTTACCTTATTACTTTTATTACGATTATTCCGTAACACGAGACGTGTTGAAACCATCTACTGATTGGCCTTATAGTTGAATGTGACAACATGTGAGTGATTATCACTTCCAATTGCAAGTTCAATTACAAGTTCCGTTACAAATTTAGTAAATAATATTTGCCATTTCATTGTGTGACTAGTACAATATCTGCAGAAAATTTTCACACCGCGATAAGGTTCAAAATAAGATTTATGAACTTATCAAATATTTTATCCTGATTATAATAGTAATAGATATGTTTGCTTTCCATACTATTGGATTATGGGACAATCCCAATCCCATTGGGTATGGGTGGGTGGAGCTTTGAGATCAGTAAAAATCCCACTCAATCTCAATCTCAATCTCAATCCTATATCCCATCCCGTATCCCATGACCAGATTCCATGTCACTCACCATTAAATAATTCGGATCGATCGATATGTGGGATTAATAGGAAATTTAATTAATAGCCAGAATCCTGGATTGGTTTTTTAATTATAGAAATTTGAATGACAAAACATCCTATTTTAATTGTGAATTTCGCTTCAGTAGATGGAATAAAGTCACATTTATTTACATTATGGGCCAAGAATAGAAAGCAAAACTAAATCGATTTACTACGTGTTGATTATTATTATTATCATCATAGTTATCATATATTTGCTTTAGTGTTATTAACTCTATTGTTATTATCATATTTAAAAATATAATAGTTTATTAAAGATAACATATAACAGTTGATTTAAAATGAGCAGACATAAGGTTTTTGAATAATATAATTAGAATTGTCTATTATTCAAAACATATTAATTGGGAGTTTATATTAATTAATATACGGTTAAATTTTTCTTTTTTCTAAAAAAAAAAAAAAAAAACAAATCTATGGCAAAATGATTTGGTTGTGCAAAAAGACTTGTTACACGATCATTATGATACATTTTGTTAATGGGATATGGGTTTAGATTTTAAAGGGTATGAGTATGGGCGGCAAGTGTAGTAATAGGAGTGCACTTTGTGTTACATTATAATTATAATTAAATTAATGAATGAATGGATGAATTTAATTAATATTAATATTAATGATCCAAATCCAACGTTTTTTTTTCCGGTCGGGAATATTTTGTTTATTCCAAATTAAATTATGTGCACACGAAAAAGAATTATTTTTATTAAAAAAATAATATGATAACATAAAAAAAAAATAAATAAATGTTAAAAAATTTATTTAATATTAAGTATATATTAAGTAAAAATGTCCAATAATCAATCAATTTCTAATAATAAAAAAATAAAAATAATAAACAATAATAATAATAAATTTTTTTAAGTTAAAGAAGATTCATCTTGAATGCTTTTTTTAATTCTTAATAAAATAGTAGTTTTCCAATTATCTAATTTTGTGAGTTGATCAAATTCAACCACTCTATTTGTAAAAGTTTCAACATCTCCACCTTCTACTGCCTCCAAAATAGCCTTCAACAACAACAACAATAATAATAGTAATAGTAATTAGTGGTTAATTTATATATATTTACAAACAAAAATCTATTAATTAATTACCTCAAGAAATTGACATTCTCTTGTACCAGAAAAAGTAACATCTACATCTCCATATCTTTCAATAGCTCTACGAGCTCCAATATGATCCTATAATAGTAATAATTTATTATTAAATATATACAAACAACATTTTTACTTCCTCTTCCATTCCACACCCTCTCTCCATCCATAAACACATCCATCCCACCTCTTCTTTCTTATTCTCTTTCACTTCCATCACATATATACACTCACCCCAAAAGCAATATGACACAATCCAGCTTTCAAGAAATATTCTTTAAGTGACCATTTTGCCAATTGATTATCAAGACTTGCCATAGCAACTTGCTCAAACTTTTCAATTGCTTTGTCATATTGTTCTAATGTTGCTGCAAATGTGGCAGCCTTTATAAAACAACCATTTGCCAATCTATAGTTTAAATTATTAAAGTAATTAAACATTATTAAAAGTGATTTAAAAAAAATATCAACTATATTATTGCTACTATCATTACTATAAATGTCAATTCTACTGCCGCCAATAATAATACTACTATTAATGCTGTTACCACACATTATTATTAATAATAATAATACTTACGCTGTTGATTCTTCGCCTAAATACCACTCAGCAGCAATTTCATATGCTTGCATTGCTTTCTCCAAATCAACTAAATCTGATTCATAAATTTGTGCAATATCTTTTTGAAGATTGGCTGCTGCTTGAAATCTACCTCGATCAGTAAGTATTTCAATGGCTTGCTTCAAAGAACTAATTGCCTCTTTTTTTTTAATTATTATAAATGTTATATAAAACATTATTATTGTAATTTTTGTTTATATTAATTTAATTTATTAATTGAAATCAATTATTATTATTAATTATTATTTCAATAGCTATTCGTTCACTAATTCATTCGGTTGATTGATTATTACCTTCAAAACTACATTTTCTATAACATTTTGAAGCATTTATAAATGTAGTAGATGCTTCATCACGTTCATTTAATTGTAATTGCATATTTGCAGCTTTGATAAACGCATCTCCAGCTTCTTTCCCTATACATATACATATATATAATATAATCAAATAATGGTTTTTTTTTAATTTCATTTGTTTTCAATTACATCATTTATTCCATTTACACTATTTCATTAATAATCTCCCCAAAAATTTAAAAAATTAAGACCACACAACTTGCATGAGAAATATTCTCTTACATCGTTTTGCCAGCTTAAACATATTTGCAGCTTTATTGTATAATTCGGCTGCATCTTCATATTTATTTCCTCCAAACCATTTAAAAGTGTTTGCTGTCTTATCAGCTTTTGTTAAAATTGATTGTGCATCACCACGTTCAGACATTTTATTATTATTATTTTTATATTAATTAGTTGAATTAAAAAAATAAAAAAACTACAATTACACACGACCACTTTTAGATAAAATCGTGAAATTTGCTCAACGCCACATTGTACCCTCTCTCTATTATAATATATAATCAAAATTTTCGGTGGGATCTTACGTAAGCAAAAAATTTATTGGCTACACATAAATAGAATACGCTAATGAGATTGTGTAAAAATCGGCCACGAAAATATGTTGGGACGCCAAATTTTGATATATAGGAATACAACTCATTGCATGACTAATAAATTTTTTAATAGAAAGAAAGATTTTTAAAACTGAATCAGGCCCCCGGAATGTATGATTAGAGTCTGACTGTGACAATTGCGAATAATATTCCATATTAGTATGTTTAAAAATTTACTATTCCGGCCATCTTATTATACTTTTTAGGAATGTGATACAAGGCCGAGATTATAGAGGTCCCGCACCATACAAATACATATTAATATGCGTCATTTCAGAACACCGCATAACCCATACGTTGGTCGATTAGTAAATTCTGTTAAATTTACCTCATTAGGATTTTTACACCATAGACATTTAAAAATCGTCAATTTGCCCCATTTTTTATTACTTCTTTGTGATGCACCATATGCAGTGAACATTCCAACTTGTTCTAATTGCTTGGCTATTTCATCTTTTAAGCTTTCTTTTCAAATTATTTGCATCATTATTATTTCCAAGAAAAAAAAACTAGTGATTGACTGTTTCCCTTCCTTGCTTCTTTACATTTATTATTACTTGCATGTCTTGATAAGGATCATATTCTTTAATCTAATACAAATGCAATATATTATTTTACCATCTATCACACAACTAACAAATTCATGATTTTTAAGAAGTTCTAACGTTAATTTTTTTGGCATTTTATTTGAAACATCATCCCGGTTTTTACTTCTAAAGAACGTATGGGTTCGTATAGAATTATGCATATTTTCGGGCAAATTATTCATCATTCATCGCATAAATACCGAAATCAATAACATATTAAAATCTTTGTCTTTACCAATATATACAATTGGGTGGGATGGAGAGAATCATTTGACTTTAATGAAGAAAATAGTAGAATTAAATTTAATTTAATATGGTTTATTCAACAAATGACCATGTCATTTAAAATTGATTTCTAAATGACACAAATGACAAATTACGAGCCACTTGAGGTAATTTGAGTCACTTTCCATAACTCAAGATAAAGCAGTATGAGCAAATGAATTAACTATGTTCTTGATGAAGATGAAAGGGACCTAATGGTACGCTTAGCATAGCCTTTGATGGAATTAAAAGGTTGAACGAAGGTGAGTGAGATAATTAATGCCAATGGACAAAATAAAAATAAAAAATATATATAGTAATTAGCAATACAATAGATGAGGACTAAGATGATACAAAATGTGTGGTACGTGGACATGTGGGCTCAACAATAGCGTTGATGATACTACAATACTGTACTTCTTTTACTATCAAATAATTTTGGTCAACTAGGCATTCTTTTAGTATTGCCATGGATTCTTGATATAAGCCCATTATTTATCGAATTATTTTCAATATAAAATAAGCACAATCTATTCCTGGCATATTTTAAGAGGTGTGTCATGGTCCTAACAGCAGAATATTCTTTTATTCGATCGGTTTCTTTTGGAGGTATCTGCTAGCATTTGTCAACCTGTCATCCATCGCTTTAAGCTGAGCCATTGGGGGGATGTCTTGCTTTTTTAGATTCATTAGCACCATTATAGTTATTATCACCCTTCGTGCACATATATAATTCATATATAAATTTTTAGTTTTTTCACAATTAACCTACCTTAAAAATAGCATTTTGTTATTGGTCAAGGCATTGGATTGGAGTAACGACATAAGCAAAATCAATAAGAAAATTGAAAGTGTAGAAACATTTCCATTTGGTTATTATGATATGAACCAAGGAATGTAATCGTAAGCATCGTGAGAAATAAATATTAATTTTATTATTTTCAAACACGCTCGATTTTGAACCCGATATTACATAATACACATGGAGAATTAACGAATCTTTATATAAAATAAAAAAACAACCTATCTGAAATTTTTTTTAATCATTTTTTACATCATATGAAAGATTTTCACAATGCCATTTTGATCCATTATATTTTTAAATTTTACTATTAAAATCTCTTCTAAAGGTCCATCTATATAATGAAGCCAACTGTTTTCTGTGCACCTTGTTCGAGATGTTTAAGTAATGATGATGGTAGATAATATTCCTATCAGATGTATCTTCCAAGAATCCAAGACGTTTAGAAGATGATTGATGCATCATGATGATTTTTGCAGTTGGTCCATCTTGCGAGAACTATTTATTAAAATAATTTAAAAATTTACGTTTGCATTGTATCATCACCATTCATTCAATTAAATGCACTCTTCTCCTTTAAATGTTTTAATTTATTAGGTCATAAAACTCTTTCAATCTATCTATTTCTCTTGAATATTGTTCTTTATAAACTATGACTTTCATAATCTAAAAATTGCGTCAGTAATCACTATTGATGATACCATAGATGTTAGCCGAAATAATAAATGATCATTGCTTAGTATTAGGGCCAATCAAATAGAATGATTATTTTTTTATGTTTCATTCATAACATAAGACTAACATCTCATGGTACTAATATTATCTTTTGTATGGATAGTAACTTGATGATCTTTCTTTCATTTTTAAATTTTGACGAGGATGATGTAGAAGGGCTGCCACCACATTTATTATAATCATCACTTCTGTCTTTATCATTATGATATCCATTTCCGTGATGAGTTATCAACTAAGTTTGTATGAGTTTTGAAAAAGGCTTTGATTTGAGCTTTCAAACATTAAATTATTTGCTTTGATTGATCCCATCAACCTCTTCTCAAGTCACCCCCGTGTGAAATTAATTTTCTTTTTCGTTCTTTTATTTGGGCGATGCAATTTATCTTTTTAATATGTTCTTTAAATAACATATAGTTCAAGAGGCTTGCTGGAATTTATCTATAAATCTGTCAGAATTAAACTAACAGTAATTAATTATTAATAAGAAGTAATATTTTATATTTTATTAAAAGTAGTAGTTTAAAGGTTCTTCGTCACTCTTTACACTTGTACTGTGTTTTGGTATTCTTTCTTCTAGAGCTTATTTACGACCCAGTTCGACTAATTATGTGACTCAAACTCAAACCATCAACAATTTGAACCAAATGCAAAAGTCGTGCTCATTTTTAACAACGATTGCATTTATTTCTCTAACATTTTATTAAATTTTTGATTATTAAAAAAATTACCAGTTCTTTGTCTGGAAATTCAATATTTATAAAACTATCTTAACATATTTGGCAAAAACAATGATATCATAAAACTAGAATCGTTCAATTTAAGATATCTTTCATCCTATAATTCATGTTCCTTTTCTTGGAATACTCCTCTTATAATCATGTAATCTGCATTATATATAATTATAGAGAATAAATTAATATGATAACCAAAAGAGTAGAATCGAAAGAATAAATGTAATATTCCTTTTTTCTGGAATATTTATAAGGCATCATCTTATACAAGAGGTGTTCAACATTATTTTCTCTGGAAAATTGGATTGGATCAGTTCATGAACACAAAAGACTTTTAAAAAATAAAAATAAAAATTTATATAAATAAAATTAAAAAAATATTAATTTATTAATTTCTATATTAATGAAATTAATCATATAATAAACTATTTGATAATCTACTAGCATTTCATTAAATGCTATATTTCCAACAGTATAATCAACAATTGGACATTGATGGCAAATTGCCCATTCAGGTTTTTTGACCCTACTTAATATTGAGCCATCAATTCGCCTTTCATTTATCTTAAAAATGAAGCTTTTATCTGCTTAAATTTCATATTCCTCATCTGGGAACATACCCTCCTTATTCTAGCATACTGGATTATATCCACCTACTAACTCTCCAGTTCCCTTAATTTTCATTAAAATCATTGTTTGCTTGATATTGTAGCTTTTCTCTTCAAAAATCACCCTTGAAAATCCATCTTGAGAACCACAATGTACTAGTGCTTGATCTATACATTTTTGACATGCAGGGTTAATATTTGCAGAATCTAGATGTTCTGTCAGCTTTGTTTGATTTGGATAATAGTTACTTTTTCTTTTTTCCTACTGGATGTGTAGTAAGTACTAGTGCTGTAAATTATGATGATGGTGGTAATTGTATTTATGGCATATAAAAAGTGGTTGCAATTACCTTTGCAACCACTTTTGCAACCATACTTTTTCCTTTTTGGATTACAGCACTAGTCTTTAATGTGTAGGCTCACCATTGCTACCATCTCTCAAAGCTACAAATGCACTATAATAATCTCCAACCTTTTTTGTGGCATTATTACAGTATATTCTTAAATGTTCCTGCATATCTGAAACACATCCTTTTTTAAACAGTAATCCACAAAACTTACAGTTTGCCTTCCAATGTCCTTTTGATACTAAATCACCTTTCTGAAAATATTCTCATGCCTTATCAAGTCTTCCATTATTTTTTTTTGTTACAACTTGTTCATTATTAGGTATGTTATTGTAATCAAGGCCAATATTTAGTTGATTTTTTAGAGTTTTGTGTGTCAATAATAGTTTGAGATGTAGTGGCTTCAGTTGTAATTATAAGATTTCTTGATTTTTTTTTGCTGTATAGTCAGGGATGGTGTGTTAAGGTTTCTGTCCGAAATTGCCCAAATACTTTGAGCAAAAAATTTTTTTTTATAAGCCCAAACTACTTTTTGTTATTAGCCGAAATTGGGTGAAATTATTTTAAAGTTGTTTAAGTTAAAACAAGTTGATTCGTATATTTTTTTAATGTCCCTGCTTATAAAAAGTGTTGAGAAGCCCAAATTGCCCAAACTAGTTTGGGCTTTGAGAAAACAGTTTGGACCAGAAACCTTAGATGGTGTGTAGAGATGAATTTGTATAATGTTAATAGATTATGTGCATATATATATAGTGTTGTTAGTTTTGATAATAATGGATGCTATTGTTATCGGAATTAGATTTTGACACTCTTTTGGTCGAATTTAACTATTATTATTGTATTTTTGTTATTATTAATTTAGTATTATTTTATCTGTGTTACATCTACTTTCGTAATACGTTTTATTTTTATTTTCAATTATTTGTATAACGTCGTAATTTATTTAACTTATTTAAGAAAGAATTGTCATGGGATATCCTCACAATTTTGGGATATCCTCGCAATTTTGAGATATCTTCACAATTTTGGGATATCCTCGCAATCTCGGGATATCCACGCAATTTTGAGGTATCGTCTCAATTTTGGGATAACTTCTCAATATTGAGAGAATATCTCAATTTTGGGATATTAGAATTACTAATTAAT